CAGTTAAAATATTATTTATCTGAAAGAAGACCTTGTGATGTGAGATTCTTAACTAATTTACAGTTGATAAGACCAAAAAAAAAGGTAGAAGGTTAATAGTCTTATAGAATGGTCAGACAGTTCACTTAAGTTCTTAAAGACTGGAACAAGGTATTTATTGTAGAGTTCAGAGAGAACAAGAGCCAGTTCAGGAGTACATTTCTTAAAGACTATTGCAGGGATACCATCATCAATTTACAGATGATAGCAGAAACCATTGACAGTTATATTTATATCATGCAATAGAGACTCAGTTCTAAGTGGAAAGTCAGGCAAAGATACTTCAGATGAGTCAAGAGAAGAATTTTAAGAGAATTTACCAGCAAAACAATCTACTTTATCAGCAGAAGATGATAAAATCTCAAATTGAGTGAATGGAGGAAGGATAGAAGATTTATTATTTAAAATACTATTAAAGAGCTGCCAGTAGTCACAACAACCAAACTTGTTAGAGGCTATACAGACATGTTTACAATTATGATCTGATACAACAAGCAGTCTGTTGAGGTCAGAATTATCAACGGTCACAATGGTACAGCCTAAAAAAGTGATTCCTGTAGGCTATCACAGGTGAATAGGCAGGTATGAACCAAGAGGAAAATTGTGGTTTCACCTGGTATTTCCAAAAAGATACAAAAGCATCAATGCAGGCATTCTCAATAGGAAAGTTAAAAATATCAATCCAAGTGGCACCTCAAACAAAGTCACAAAATAAATTCCAATTAGTACGCTGGTAGTAGAGAGAAGTCTTGTGAATAGGAGGTTCCTGTCTAATAGATGATTCAGATTGTGATCCAAAACATGATTCAAATTGCCAAGAGGACAGATTTACAATGCATTACAAAAGCTAAGGAATAAATCAAGTAAAGAAGCTTGTTAATCAGAATTATTTCTAAGTGCTAAAATATTTGGAGAATATTTCAAGAGAATTTCTGTAGAAACTACCAAATAAATGCTTCCCTTCCCAAAAAAGATCATTGTGTAGTCAATAGAGTTCTTAGAGAAAAAGACAAAGCCAAAACAAATGCAAAGGCATTGAAAGCAATGTAACAATTCTATTACAAAAAGAAAGTAATATGCTGAGAATGAAGAATTGAATAAAGTAATTCATACCAGAAACGAAATAAGATTGTCTCTGGAAAATATGTTTGCTGAATCTTTTATGCCCACTTGCAGTTCCTGTGAAGCCTACTTTGTGTGCTTTTTATAATGGGAATGTCTAGCAGTGATAGAGCAGGAAAGAGTGTAATTAAAAGACAACAATTAACAGGCTACAACTAGTACTGAAAGAGCAGAAAACAGGTTTATGCTTCTTAAATTATATTTATCTTTATTTCTTTTTCCTTTATATGTATTCTGCCTTATTTTGATTTCCTGTTGCTAAAAGAAACTGTTATGCTAGCTATTTTTGTTTTTTTTTCCAGCTTGATAATTGTATTTTACATTAATTGCACATTTTTTCCTATACAGTTTCACATTTAAAAATTAATTTTGCTTTTATAGGCTCATAGCAATTAATACTATTTTTTCAATAAGATAGCTAATTTTTTTTAAAAAATTTTAGTTATGTTTAATATTTTGTTATTTCTTTTACAAAATGGGTGCTGGATGAGTTCTTGGCCCTGCCAGGAATAGCATGATATAAAGCCATGAAATATTCACCACACAGTTCAACACTCTTGGCACATTGTTTGTAAAATTCCTTTAGTTCCCTTTAAATAAAAAATTCTGTTTGGTTATTAAAATACTGGTGCTGTCACTCCAAATTATTTGAAAATTTCTTCCTTTTCAAAATCATGACAAGAGCCAGATAGAACAGTATCATGTGAGTAGATTTGAATTTTTTTGTATTCAAACTCCAGTTTCTCTAAAACATATCATCGTACCAGCTATGAAAACATTGTCCTACAAAAAGAGAATACCTTTGCACAGATTTCCTCAGTTTTTCTTTCAGCAACCACTTTAATCATCACTGCAAATATTCTGCAATAACTTAAGATAGTCACCTTCCTTGTCCCCACCACTCAAAAAAAAATGGTCAAGACTTGTCTGTAAACTTTGGGTGTTGAACTTATTTGGCTGTGGAGGAATCATGGACTATTGTTTGATCTCTTGATTATAGTTTCATCAACACTGTCAAATCATTCCAAAACATTAACACAAGATTACTGAAAATGCTACAAAATCAATTTAGATGTACGTTCAACATCATTCAAACATTTTTGCACCTATTTTGCTGACAAATTCTGCATACTCAATTGCTCATAAATTATAAAGAAATCTAATGTGTTTCTTGGACATCTCTAGTGTTGCAGCAATTCTTTTGGTTGAGATTCATCAGTTGACCAAAATTAAGTCATCAACAGGATCAAAAATTTCTGGAGGTGTCACTCTTGAAGGCCTCCCAGATCATGTTACACTTTAGTTTTCAAAATCTCTACTATGGAAATTGGTACATCCCTTCTTCACAGTTGAGTATGATAGAGACTTGTCACCCAATGGCTGCATCTTTTTTTTTTTTTTTTTTTTCAAGTATGTTTTTGTTAATTGATTTTAATATTTTCAGATTTTTTTTATTTATTCCAAGAAAGATAAAAATGTGTTTCAAACACAAAAACAGTTCAACTGTTCTGACTGATAAAATGTGTAAAGTTCTTTGCAAACTTTACTCACAATTATTATGTCACCAAATTCATGACTCAACACTTTAATTCACTAGGCTATTTTCTCAAAGGACAATTACGTGTGGAGAACTCTTTTTGCCTTCTATTAGCATGGCTGATGCTAACCTCAAGGAGACAGTCTCATTGCACCTTCACCTTCTCGGACTAATGTTTTCCGCAGAAATTTAGTGGAAAGATTATATTGAATCAATTGCTAGGTTTGCTGCTAGGAAACTTGTTTCACTGAGTTGTGCTCAACAATTTTTCTCACTAGAATCTATCTTATATATTTATAAGTCTACCATTTATCCATGCTTTGAATATGACTACCACACCTAGTCTGGTCCTTCTGCTATATATTTAGAGATTTTTGATAAAATTCAAAGAAGAATGTTATTGGTCCAGACCTGGCATCTTGATTTCAGTCCTTTTCTCATCACCATAACTTAGCTTCCCTATGCCTTTTCTGTAAATACTTTCATTGTAATTGTTCTGATGAACTTTCCTCTATGGTACCTACGCTTTTTGAATTTAAGCACAGTACTAGATTGGTGACAAGGCCTCATTTTACAGTTGAAATGGCTAAATGTAACCTTAAGTTTTATGTTAACAGTTTCTTCTCTCATACTTCTTACTTGTGGAACTCTCTTCCAGCTTCTTGCTTCCCAGTTAACTTTGATCTTCAAAAATTTAAATGCAATGTCAATCACTGTCTTCTTCATTCCTGTTCATTTATTGTTCTTTCTCCTTAATAGTGTTTTGTTTTTCTCATATTCTCTCACACTCAGTAACTCCTTGCATCATAGTGGCTTTATTCCCTTGCTTGGGAGTGAAATGATTAAAAAAAATAAACAAAATAAAAATAACTGGAATGTATTTCCTTATGTGATTCACTAATTAATCATAAAGATAATCCTTTTTTTTAAACAATTTGTGAAAAACAATGAAAAATGGATACTTTACAAGAATGGAATGAGGTGAGCAAAATGAACAACCACTGATTATACCAAAAGCTGGTTTCTTCCAAAGATGTTGATGCTGTGTATATAGTGAGAATAAAAGGAAGTCTTCTATTAGCTTTTTCTGGAGCTTGTAGAAGATAAATTGAAATCAGCAATTAATGAAAGCCATAAAGAGTGTAATATTCTAGTATTTCTTTGGTAATTAAGCAAAAAGTGTTAGATTGATTGGGAAGTTTTCATTCATCTACTGTTTTTAATAGCTATTGCATGTTTAGTTTACTACTTATTCTGGCTTTTAGCAGATTCTCATAAAAATAAAAAAAAATAAACAAACATTGATTTCCGAGAAGACAGCAAAAGCTATATAAGTTTTGGGAGGATGGAATTATGAAGTTGCCAAAATAATAGCAGAAATTGTGGAATAAAATGGTAAATATGTTTTTTGATAAAATGTCAAAAATGAAACATTTTTTTTATTTTACTTAATAAACTGAAAAAATCTTGATCAATTTAGTATTTTTTTTTTTTTTTCTTAAAAAAAGGTTGAACTGTTTTTCTTAATTCTATTATTTGAAAGTCAGTACAGGAGTTTAAAATGTTTTCAAAGTTTGTTTATTTAGCTAAAAATTTAATAAAAATGAAGATTTTTCTTTCTTTTATTTTTATTTTTTATTTTTTATTTTTTTCTCAAGGATGTAATACACCATTCAGGTTAAATTTTCTTTATTTCAGGTGTATAGAGAATTTATGAACTACAGAGTATTTAATGTTGCACTGTCTTTTTGAAAGCATGTGGTGTTCAAATTGCATATACAAACAGATGATGACAGATCCATTTTGTTGTTTAGAACCTTATCTTTTTATAAAAGTAGTCTACCAAGCTGTCATATCAGTTTTTGAAATTTTAACGTGATAATATCAGATATAAATTTTATTTTATTTAACTAAGTTATTTATTACCTTGAATACATTTTATTATTAACAGTATTAATTATAAATTATGATTAACAATTGACAAAATTTTGCTTTTAATTCTTCGTTAAAATAATTTACTGAGACCAGGCTCATTTTACCTATACATTTCTTCACAGAATGACTTATGAATAATATAACCCCTACTGTGTAAATATTTCTTATGTATTTTGTTTATATTTGATGTAAATCATTTAAATAAATAGATCATGTTGGTTTTCTTAATGTCAATTATAACTTTTTTTTAATTGAAAATTAGGTCAAAGTCTTATTAGTTTAAAAATGGCTGCATACTAACATTTGCTTAAAAATCATACTTTTGTTATTTGATGATTGATTGGAATTAACTCTGTATTTCTTGTAGGTGAAAGATCCACAGTTGTTTGAAGATTGGCTTGCCCAACTAACTCATCACAGACTTTATCGTCAACATGAAATTACTTATGGTACTAAGGATCAACCAAGGTTGACTGAGCTTACTTCACCAACTGAAGAGATTACACAGCTTCCTGCATGTAAGCAGATTCATTTCACACATGTTCACACACACACACACATGTGTGTATGTATGTATATATATATATATATATATATATATATATATATATATATATATATACTTCTGTTTTATGAGCAAAATCGGTTCTAAATCTTGAGTCAATTTAAAATCTGTTTTTCTTCGATTTTTACTTCAAAATGCATGCTTATTTTTTGTTGTGATGAGATAACCCAACTTCCCCATTCACGATAATGGACGGACTGGTTGCCGATTAAGTACGACCACCACGGACAGTAAAAAAGGTCTTCGTTTGTTAACACCCATTGAGGTTAGCATACTCCCGACTCTGTCTCTGTATTTTGACATACCTACATCCGATTATAAAATTATTATTGAAAACCAACACTCGGGTTTACTTTGTTTATTATATCTTGCACGAGATATAACATTTTTTATTTTTCATGCATGTCTTCTCCATATAGATATTTTTCAATCCTTTTGCTGTTGTCATCTTTTATTTGAATATCCTGCATAAATTTTGAGACCTGATAGGTTATAAGTCCATGTATTCTAAACATATTTTGCAATTTTATACAAAGCTGTTTGTGTAACAGTTCATTTAAACTTCTGTAAGGATTATTCTTTACAATATTTATTTTGAATCATACAAAATTATAATTACATATTTCCAAAAAATTGTATATACACTTTGATTTGCACAATTAAAAAAAATGATGCAACCTTTCTTTGCTATTATTTACTGCTATCTGGTAATAGTTGTTTCCCTATAGTATTCAAGAACTATATAGGAATTTCTTTACAAAGGGCTTCACAGTTGGTGTATGGGTATTTATTTTAGGTTTTTGTTGTAGCATACCTAGAGATGATAATGGATATGTCCTCATTCACATAAATACAGTAGTAAATACTGTATGTTGGGCTGTAGTTGGAGATTCATTGTGGAATTCACTTGACTCACTTCTAGCGGTTGACTACTACTTCTACACACTGCTGGCGAATCTTTTACGTGTTGTTCATGTCCTAAGTATTATTGTACATTATCAACTTTCATGTGATTATTCTATTCAGTAATCTTCCCTAGGTTACAACAGTGTTGGGGAGCAATTGATATCTTCTTAAAATGTTTACTGGCAATGCATTCCATTTTAAAACTAATTTGATATTTTCAACTTTGACAGAAACAATGTCTACATAGTTAATCTACTTACTATTGTTTGGAGGTAGTTACATATATAAATTTTAGACAGTAACTATTTCATCACTGTTTGAATGTGAAATTGAAAGTAATTTTTAAAACAAGTTTTTTCATAGTAATTTTTTCAGTATTTTATAGATTTGTCAAAAGATACATTATATTCTACTCTATCTGCAAAAAATGAAATTATACAATTGTGTTAATTTTCATGAACATTAAAATACTTGAAAGAAATTGATTTAAAAGGAAATATATATTTAAGCAGTGTGGTGTTGTGGCAATTCAGTCTGCTTCTTTTTGCTATTTTGAATTTGAACTGGCACAAACACATTTAAATTATTAGTACCAAACTTTGTGTTTAGTTGCATACTTTTATGTGCCTGCTCAGATTGCTATAAATTATGCCCTGATGAGAAGGAGTTCCTTTTTTATAGTGGAGCTGAAGCAGACTGACCACATCCGAGTATAGGAAGCTCTCAACTTGACTCAATGGAAGTAGCAAAAAGATTCTGAACATCATTAGTTTTATACTTACTAAGCAGGAAACAAAATTTTCCCAATTATAAATTTTTGTATTTTGTTTTTTAAATTGTAGACGTCAGTAAAATTGATAAAGATTAAATCAGCATTAAAAAAAATTGATTTTTTTTATTCACCTTATTAATTTTAGTTATACCTCACAAGTGTATTTATCTATCTCTACAAAGGTATGCTCTTGCAATAAGAAATAAATTTTTCACAGCCATTATAAGTATAAGCATAATGTTTTTGAATGTCATTTTTGTTTTATTCAATCTCAGGAAATGATTACTAAAAATCCCCTCTCTTCAAATTTATCAACAAATCCTACAGATGAATGCAGATAAAAATGGACAATTCTCAGTCTTACCCACACATTTTTTTTTCTTTCTTGCCTTTAAGTCAGAAGGCTATAACTACTTGAGTGTATCCCTTTTGCATATGAACAATATTTCTATTTTGTGAATTTTTTGCTTTGTTACTGTCATATAGTTGCTTTGCTTTGCACTACATTGTCTTATAGTATTTATCCTGTTCTTTTTCCCCCCTCTTAGTTATTGATAATTTTGTCAATTCCACTTAATCATGTCTGCTTCCTTAACAATTTTACATTGTTTTATACTTGTTAATATTTAAGTATCACTGCAGAATATGCAGCATATTTACAACCATTGCAGAGCCTTTATTTGATTACACAAACTTCTAACCCTTCTAACTAAAGAAAAGTGTCCACCAAGGTGATATCATCTTACTGCAGCCCTTCACAGCATGCCTTGAATCATTTTTCATAATCTGAACTGAGAATAAACAACAAAATAAAGTAGATGGTGAATACTTGCATCACCTGTGATTAGTGATGATACTCTGCTTATTACTAGCAACTTAGAAGAATGATTATTAAGCCAAATGATATAAGCAAAACAGTTGGCTTCCTCATGAATGCCAAGAAAACTAAGTGCTAGTAAATCAACAACTAGATGAAAGCATTAAGATGATAGCTGAAAATGAGACTACCTAGTAGCTTGACTGCTATATCTACTTGTCAGCACATCTCAGTAAAATCACCAAAGAAGAGATTAAATACAAAATTAAACTGGGATGGCATGCTTTTGGCCAAGCTAATTCCATCATATCATCCAATATTACTGTAGTTTTGAAAAGAAAAGTTTACAACCAATGTTACTAGAATCTTATAAAAATACTCATCTGCAAACTAAGTATAATGCAACAAGTTCACAAAAGAATTATGCTCAGTGGCATTTGGAGTGACAAGAGCAGACTGGTGTCCATGACTTCCTTGAAAAAGTTAAGAAATCAAAATGGAACTAAAAAGGATACATATCAAGAATGACAAATAACAGATTGAAGACCCAATGACAAAATAACCTTGACAAATTTGAACCAAAATGTCAAAGCACAAGACCAGAGCTTATTATGGCAGCAGCTGGAAAAGGCCCACATCCAATAAAGGACAAGAGATGTTGACTTGGCCTAAGGCTGATAAAGAAAAGAAAAACATTATCTATTCGAACTAATGTCTTGTTATTGTTTCATTTCAACTGTTACATTCTCCAGACACCTGAACGTGTCTGTCATTTAGTAACTTTTTGGGATGTTCTATCTGAATTCTTTACTCAATCCATGGAGGTAGATTGTTTTCACCAAAAGTTCATGCTGGAATAGATCTTGTATCAATTAATTACTCTTAGTGACACTACTTTATGCATTGTTTTTCATTACCTGACCAAAGAACTGAACTCACTACCACCAGATAACTAGAGGCACTTAACCAATGTTATTTCATCTACTAGACCATTTAGTTTTCTGCATACTATGGAAGTTAGTTAGCAGCTATGCATATTTTATACTGTGTATGATTGTAAGCAAATGTTAAATTTTATTCATCAGTATCAAAATTCTTACAAAATGTAAATATACAAACCTATATTGTGAATAGAAGTGCACAAGAGAGTAAAATGAATTTGCCTTGTTTTTTTTTGTTTTTTAAAAATGAAACTAATCAAGCATTGACATTGAATAGTTGTGATAAAAAGGGTTTTCAGCTGTTTTAAGTATAAAAGGTTCAAGTATCTTATTAAATAACAAAAATACCATGTTTTGAAGTCTGTAAGTTAAATATTATTATTAGATAAAACATTTTAATCAATTGTAATTGTTCTATAAATGTTACAGAAGTGGAGAAAACTTATTTTCAGCAGCATTGATTTTCATTGGCCTACTTTGATTGTAAACATTGTGCTGACATCATCTGCCATATATATCTTTTGTTACCTTTGGTCAGTTTCCAATGGCCTCACTTCTCAATCTGCAATATTGGTCTTTTGAATTTTTGCCAATCTAATATTCTCACATAGTAAATTTCAAGCCTAAACATTACCAGGTTGACTGCTTTCTAAACTTAGTTTAATTACAGTTATTGTCCAATATTTTTATTTTTATAAGAATTATTTTTATTTCTGATGGATAAAATACTTACTTGTTGTGCTGCTGAGAATTGTAGTGCCAGATTCAGTGATCATTTCTTACACCATCAGGTTGAAGTGCTATTGATGTGTTATTTTCCAGGTGCCAATTTACCAGAGAAAGCTCGAACTTTCAGCATGGGAAAAGAAAGTGTGCGTCAGGCTAGCTTGAAAGGACGTTCTAACCAGGGAACGCTTCTTTCAGGATGTGGAAAAGTAGCAGCCTGGTTGTTAGATTCTGAAGGGATACACCAATGCAATAAAGGTATGTAGAAAATCAATACTCCTTTATATATAACTTGATGGATTAAAGGATATTTGTGTGAAAGTAAAAATAATGTATGCAAAGGTAAAGTTACTTTAATTTCAACATACATTTCAAGTTTATATAGCTTGTTTGAAGACTCACTTTTAATTGTTTCTATTTTCAAAGAATATGATGAATAAAAAACAAATCAGATTTTATTGTCAAATATTAGACAATTGAATGACTGTAAAACTCCTGTGTAACAACTTTCGTCATCTAAAAGGACTTCATCAGACTAAAGTAATGTTCTTATTAATGGAATTACATATTATCTACCTCCTCCGTTTACATATAACATAAATTTGGTTATAATTATGCACCAAGTGGAAGCACTGAAGATGTGAGAATGTTAAATTTTAAAGTTTTAAAGTTTTTAATTTAAACATTTTTGGCACTCAATGTGTCTAAATGCACAGCTTAACCAATATCATTCAGTTTTCAAACTCTCTTGCTTTTTATCACTGTTTTTAAATATCCCACATTTTGACAACAAACAGATCTGTCAAGAGAAATGTAAGAACCTGGATGCAAATTTACTATGGGTGATTTAGAAATCAGTGCACTTTCTATATATTCTTATTTTAGGAAATTGTTTTCTCATTTGAAGTAGCATTTTTTTTTTAAAATCAAAATTATGGTCAGATTCATTACAGTGTTTAGCTAATACATTGAGTATGTTTTTTTGTAAATGATACCTTTTGTGTCCATATAATAGTTTATTTTATTTTCTATAAAGTCTCCTATGTATTCTTTGTGGCAATCATTATGGGCTAGAGAATAAATTCCTATGTCAGGTTTTATGTTATTATATATATTGAGTACCAATAGTTTTAAAATTAAAAATTTTGCATATATAATTCCATCAATAAGAACATTAGTTCAATGAAGTCATTTAGTAGATGAAACCTGTTATATAGAATTTTTCCATTTTGTCATTCAGCTGCCTTACATTGTTCTAAAATATAGAAATATATATATCATATTTTCCTATTGTCAACTATGGATATATTGTTTTTTGATAGTAATATTTTTATAAAAAACCTTGATATAGTATCTTAAAATATAATTTTAACTCACAACTAAAGCAGAATCTGATCTTTTTTATTTATACAGCATAAATTCAGAAAGAAAACTATTTTGTCTTTGAAAATGAATGTACTACTCTCATATCTGTTTAAAAAAATATTGAAGTTAAATCTGATCCTATCATTTTATCTTCAGTTTTATCTTATAAATTTATATTCTTTATTATTTGTAACTACATAAAGCTAAATATATATATATATATATATATATATATAGCAAATAATATGAATATTTATTATGAAATTTTCTCTTCAAACTGTACTTCATTACTTACTATTTTTCTTATTAATTTTAAATGTTTAGCAATCAATATTCTCTTTCTTAATGACTCAATTTTATTGATAATTCTAAAATTATAAATGAGTGTTTTCATAAATGCTTCCAAAGATTAACCAAGCAGTGATTGAAATTTTAATGTGAATATATTTTGAAAACAACTTGTTAAAGAGCTGTTTGCTTTGTTTCTCTAAATATAAAATTAATTTGAATAAAACAATCTGGATTTTTAATCTTGTCATTTTCCTTAAAGTTAAAATTTTAAATGAGATTTTACTAAGTAAAATTTATTGAATTTCATATAAAATATTGCCAAATTAACTTTATTACCACCATCAGTTTTTCATTAAAATTCTGTATTATGTGTAATTAAATAATTTTCATATTTTATTATTTTTATTGTGTAGTTTTTCAATAAATTCATTTTTTAACTTTCAGAAATGAGTCAAGCCCAAAACCACTTGTATGAACTGAAAAACATTTTGGAGAAAATGAAGAACCTCCCTTTAGCTACAGATTCAGTACTTGGGGTAGGAATTGTCACTTTCAAAAACATTACTTGAACAATTTTTTTTTTCCTAAAAATATATTTTGTTAACATATGGTTCCTTATATTTTATAATGCATTTATTATGTCTCAGCTTCTGACCACAAAGGACAATATTTTTCAAACAAAATTTTCACTGATAGAATTTGGTACATAATCTAATTATTAAAACTAATAAGAGAAAAAAAATAAATAGAAATGTATGATTGGTTACAATAAATTTGGAAGAATTTCTCCAAGCATATTCACAAAATTCTTTAGAAAAATTAAAACTCTTTTAATAAATTCGATCATTCTTGTTTAATAAAAAAAAATAATGTAAAAATAACAGTATTTTATATTACTCAGTTTTTACAGTACACTGAGATACTTCACTATGTTTAATGGTGATAATAATTTATACAAGTATAATAGCATAACAATAATGAGTCATTAATATTGTTATGTATAAATTACAGTCATTATTGTTGTTACGTATTAATTACAGTGATGGACTGTCCCACCAAGGTAGTGGGTAATTTCCCAGTGGCCTTTGATGCTTTTTTAAGTACTTTTTATTTTGCTTGATTTATGAGATATTAAGCTCTATAAAAAAATATTTCTTGCATAATTTAAACATAATTTCAAATTTCCCTGATTACCACAAAGTACTGATGATGCTGCGATCCAGAAAACATTTAATACAGGCAAGCTATTCCTGTTCATTTTTCTGCATTTTTTTTATATACTTATAAACTTTCTCATATATAGCCATTTAATGGTATTTAGTAGCACTCCACAGCCCCCACTCAATATATTTCTCTTCACACAAACTTGATCAATAGCAATATTAGTTAATGTCAGACCAGATGATGCATGATTTTTTTAATACTATTGTTTACTCAATACAAAGGCCAAGAATCACTCTAGAGGGTTACTGAATAAAATTGTAAGGGTGTAAAACAAGGATGCAAGAAGTGCATATTATGAGGATCTGTAGGATAGAAAGCAGTTGATGCTAGACTTAAAAATGTTAAGATTGTAGTCATTGGAGAAGCATCCTTTTGGGAATCTGTTTCACAAAGTAGCAGTTCTGGAGAAGAAGCAGTCGGAGTGGAACTTCCTCTTTACCAATGGAATATGAAGGGAATGAAGATGATTCAGCTCTGTGTATGTAGCATGGTGGGTCCTAGCTGTGAAAACCTGAATTGGTAGAACTAAGTAATATACCTTGTCTGAACATCTGTCATGAAAATAGCAACAGAGTAGTGAGAGACTAGCATTATGTCATCTGTAGAGAAAGGGGTTTGAGAGTGAAAAATAATTCATCACTCACCAGGTTGGGTAAACACTTTTGAACTCTGTCAGGACTGAAAAGTGAGGATTGGGCAACTCCAGTCCAGATAAGGCAGCAGTACTCCATTTTTGGTTTGATTTGAGTTTTGTAATGATAAAGCATGTCAGGTGGAGTTAGGTACTTCCATGTATGGCACAAGAAACTGAAAATATTTTCCAGCATCTTTAGCAATGGATTGTATGTATGAGTGCTACTTGAAATGTAGAATAAGCTTGAGTTCTAGTAGATGTTCAAGGCATTTAATAAGTAGACCCATTTATCATGTTTGGAGAAAACTTGGGGACTGCTTGGTGATAATAAAATGTTATTAGCCTGATTTTGGAAGTATTGAATGTTACAAGTCATTTTCTACCCTATGAGCTTTGAGAGCTAAATCAGAAGATAGCTCATTTACCAGAATTTGTCCATCTAGATTTTTTTGTGGTGCACCCATAAACTATGGTATTGTCTGCATATATATTTACTAATGATCTGAGAATGTTCTTTGGTAAATCATTAATATGAATCAGGAAGAAGGTGAAAGCTTTTTGGTGATGCCTGCATTGATCCCATGGGTTTTAGAGGTCAGGCCATTAACAACACCCTCATGGACCTACCTGGTAGGAAAGACTTAATATTTGGGAAGACTCTTCCAGAGATGCTATGGCTGGAAGAGCCTTCTCAATTATGAAGGATGTTTAGAACTTCAACATATGAAGCTAGTGTCAAAACCCCAAACAAGACAAAAGGGATTTGATTACCTTCACTTTCACTCTTCTGATATGGCATCAAAGCATTTAGACTACTGGCCCTTTTAAACTTTAAAAGATTCTGGATTTTATATTTTCACCTGGTCCTCATAAAAATAAGTTATAAGATGTTTCTTATTCATCTATGCTATTTTTTCATTATGATCTTGTATAAATTAAGGGAATAATAAGTAGAAACTACTGTAAATTATCTTCATTTTTTGGTGGTCTAGAATGTTTGTTGGCATTCAACATCACTTAATCTTCATATCACATCTTTACACATAGTTATACATTCTTAGTAAATAAATTAGTAGGTCTCTTTAAAAAAGAAACCTTACTAACTTTTGTTAGCAGTGATGTTTACAATAAGAAACTCATAGGAATGGCATTTCTCATTATTTTTTAAAAGCCATTTTGCCATCACATTCTTGTCATGAGAATAATGTTTTTGTCAAGGAAATTAAACTAGAGAATTTTGGCATATCAGAGTTCAATGCATAAAATTTACAGCAATTATCTACCTTTATATACTAAAACTTAAAGACAATTTATTTTAGTTAAAACTAAACAATGAATACAAATATCCAAAGGTTTTAAATAAACAACCATTTTCAATTGATATAAACAGATCCGTAAACAGAAAATGAATGAGAAAAAATTGGGAAGCCTAGAAACAGAAAGTGAACTTCAAGTGAATGGGGATCCATAGATAGAAAATGTAAAAAAGTGAAGACCCATGTCAAAATACTCTTACTTCCTACTGTACCTCCTGCTAAAAGATTGTAGCTAGCACACTCTACAGTGCTGCAGTAAACATTCAAAAATATTAAAATTTTCCTGTTTGATCCAAAAATGGCATTGTATTTGAAATCAGTTTAGTGAAATTAGCTGACAATGAAAGTTGAGAATAAAGGATTTAAGGTTGTGTTTTTTTGCAAAATTTGTCAGGACTTTTTTGCCGCAAAAATAGCATTTTCAACTGGTTTTTCAGTTTCCTCACATTTATCAAAGAATTTCTGAACACAAAACAACAATCACATAATGCAGTATTTCTTGCATTTTTCAATACAGAAGGAGATATTGAATCTTTACTGGTAAGTGAAGATGCTCAATTAAGGTAAAAGTCATAGGAAATATTGACATTCCAAAATGCATATTAGCTGTAATTGAATTTTTAGGAAAATAAGAACTATCATACAGAGTACACTGTAATGAATCAGGTCTTTGAAAACCAGAATATTAATTACTGTCACTTTTTAAAAACAGTACTGCTTCTCTCCTACTTTGATTAGTCTCACATAAGCAAATTCATAGAAGTTTGTAAGAAAAGATTAAGAAATATGATATCAGTATCAGTTAGGAAATCTGTTATCCAAAACAGTCTCAAACAATATACTGTCAGCCATTGGGAGCATTACTTTAATGACATTGGGAATCAAATATTTTGTGTGAATGGATAATATTCAAGACACAGCAAGAATCTTCAAGTTTCTGTTCTGCATTGTTGAATTAAATGAAAGAACATTTATTTGCTCTAAACAAGGGCTCAGACTATGCTGGAATATAGTTGATGAAAGAACTTATCTAGAGAATGCAGAGTGGAAATGTTTCGTTAAGGTAATTGACTAAATTACAACAATTATTGATGGACATTTTTCTAAAAATATGAATTGCTAAGAAACAGCATATTTCGATCTATGCCATTTCCAAGAACTCAACAAAGATGAATTTCCATCAGAAGTATTGAAAGGCATATGCAATCATCTTGGCTTGAAAAAGCAGGAACTGAAAAATTACAATCTTTTATCTCAAACTTTGACAGCCTTTTAGAAACTGAATGAAGAGTTTGCAACAACAAAACCCCTAGAATCAGAAGAGATACTTCAAACTCACTTTCATGTAATTTCAGATTCATATTGCACTTTTGAAAAGTTATGTAAGATGTACTTGATTTGTTGTTTCCATATTTTATTTAAGTATTCTTTGCATGTATCTGTATACATGAGTCTGTTCTTAGATTACAAATATATTTTACCCTGTCATTCACACAAACATGCATTCAAAAAAATTGTAAAATCTATGCGCCACATTCTCAAATGAACTACTTGAAGATTTTATGCTGATGATCATCAAAAGTTTTACATTCTGATATTTCTATGAATATTATTACTTTCCTTTTTAACAGTTTTCTAGATTACTGGCTGTCTAGGCAATATGTGTTTTGTAAATTACTAAATTTTAATTTTTAGCAAATTTTTTCTGGTATAAAAGTTTGCCACTGCTCAGATATTGATGGAAATATGAAATATTACAAATTAATGTTAATCTTTTAAAAATATTAAAACATGGACAACTTGAATTTGTAATCTGAACATATGATAAAATATGTAAATATTTATTAAAGTTATACTGCAACATTCCCCAAAATACCATTATTTTCACTTGCACTAGTGATGTTAATCCAAAATGAAAAACTTATTACTAATTATTATTTAAATCTTCTGTGCACTTATAGGTTATTTTCTTTTTCTTATACCTAATATAAAATTATTTTGATGCAATTTTTATCACTTACTATAAGTATTTTATGTATTTTAAATAACATAAACTTCTTTTTCTTTTCATATTTTTTCTTTTTATATATTATATACTGTAATTAAACCACCAAACTTTTTATTTACATTATTCAGACTATTGTCCGAATCTTTGTCGCTATATTTATTACAACATTTCGGCCAACTTGTTGAACTGAACCCTTTATTTCGCTCACTGGGGTAGACTGTTCTAGTTCCACGTGCCATGTTTAATGGATGTCAGTTATCAGTTAATTTTCCCTCTGAAAGTTCTCCACTGCTTTAACCGGGTATTGAACTCACACTCTTTGGGTCCTGTCACTGGATCTAACCAACGCCTTTA